AAGTGACATTTAAAAATAGTGCGTGATTAGACAAGTGAAAACAAGTAGTACAGACAGATCCTCAACTGAAGTAAAAGTATATAAACAGACATCTAAGCTGGGAAAGAATTATTAGAATAGAGATGCATAAAATAATCAATAAAATAGTGAAGGTCAGCCGAATGCCCGTGCCTCTCCTTTTTTTCCTAGTATGGGAAGAAAAAATAAAATAAGAAGTAAAAAAATTGTTACAAATTTCATAAAAGAAAGAGTATGTTGACACAAGGCATCATTAACCTACTGAGTAGCATGAATTCCTCAGAGTATATATCTTCTGTACTTTGCAAGATACATTCTACCCTAATTCCTATACAATCTGGAAGCTTTCTTATTGATCTTCAAAGCCATCATTGGATTGAGGACCCAACTAAACTGGGTCGTATCCCTTCATCCGTAACTTATGAAGACAAATAAGTTCTCCTAGCATAATGCAACAATAAACAGTGATGACATTCATAAGGATTAAGGGTAGTGTTTTCAAGCAAAGTGGATTGATGTAAGGAGAAACCACAGAAGGTAACACTGAACCATAGTCTGATTGGTTTTAAAGTATAGAGACATACCACTTTGCTAATGATTTCCAACTGTAAGTGAAGGTAAGGAAATAAAATAATCAATCATATAAGAAAGGTGAGTACCTAAAGAGTTGAAAACTAGGGAGTGACCAACATTCCAGACAGTCATAGCAACAGATTTAGTTTATCTTACTGACCACTTGGATTTTAAGGGAAGAAGTTGGATAAATTGCATATAAGATGTAAAAGGTTGATGTATAATAAAGAAACATGGAATTGAACCACAAAATGACTAGACATTAATTTTCAGCCTTCAGGCAAAATAAAATAAATTCACTAAGATCTGATAATTCAATAATTTTATCATTACTAAGAAAGATTATCAAAAGTGTTGAAGTAAATAGAGAGCAGGAGACCTGCATAAAGTCAGTGTGATATATGGAATTCTATTTTAAATAAGTAAGGGTGGTAGAAGTGGTGGTGATGGTCATCCTCTGAAGGTACTTATCTCTTTTCCCTAACCATAATGGAAGCTAAAAATAGACATCAAGTGTGGCAAGATGAATTCCACCATTTGTAAATGTGAAAAATCAGATCTTAGTTGTGTGGAAATGTCATACTGATTCATTGATACCAATAGCTGTTAACACCTTGATATCAGCCTGGAAAGTCTACTGGTCTGGTTCAACATTGTAAGTCTCACAGCTTTATGGAGGTCTTTAAAAGCCACAGATCACGAATAAGGAACCCCTGATTTATGAGAGACACTTTCAGAACCATCCTTTATCGGAACTGTCCTAGTACTCCATAATTTCCCCATTATCTCTGTTTTGATCAGAGATGACCTACTCAGCTCAGAAACATACATTTTCATCTTGTTTATCTGGACTGTTTCAAGTTTTTTTTGTCCTAACTAGCAATTTTTATATTTGTCTAATACATAAAATCCGTGAATGGATATGAAGGCTTTTGGAGTTACTATTTTTTTTATGAACAAGGATGATTTCACACATTGTGACTGAAAAAGATAACACGTAGAAAACGTTTCCTTTGGAGCAGACTGTAGGAAACAGTGTACATATATACTTCATTATAGAGCACAGTGCTGAAATTTTTGAAATAACTGCTGTTGTCTCATAAGATCAAAAAGTTCAGCTCAGCACTACATGCAGACACTAGTCTTGGTCCCCAAATCAGTACTACTGTGTTACAGTATTGCTACAGCTTCACTCCTATTAAAGCTATTTACCTGAAGTGAAGCATTACAATGATACATTCTGTTTCTGCTGTATAGATTAGCTCATCGCCCAGCCCTCTGGGCTTAGAACATATTATCAAACAATGGAGACTATACATATTTATAATGCAGATTTTTAATCTACCAATTTCTACAACCTCTCACTTAAAAGTAAAAAAAAGTCAAGAAAACAGGTGTTTGTGATTACCTTGTCTAACTTACAGTCTTTCTGTTTCTATTTTTTTCAGTGATTTTGGTTCTGCTCCTTTCAATCCAATCTGAGAAAGGAGGTCTCAGAGAAGGGCAATTCTTGCACATGTTGTAAAGACTGATGGCTTCATTGAGCAGAAAGACCCAATAAAATCTTCATTAGTTCTGCTTCTCAGAGAATGCTCTCTTTGGTGAAGAGACCTTTAGAGCCCAAATTTGTCATTTTCAACATTCTCATTTTCCATTAAGCAGGACAATTTGCAAGATTAAATGCAAAGGAATATATCTTATTATTCATCATTATTTAGACTTCATCTGTTTCTGACTCTCAGAAGATGATATAAAAATGAACGGACTTCATTTATTTTACCAGTAAGTGGCCCTATTTCACTCAGTATATTTTAAATATATTTATTCTTCCTGATGTAAAATAAAAGAGGTCAGCATTCAAAGTTCAAATCCCAGTTCCTCTGGATTCAGATTCCATGAACAAAGTGCATTATGAGTGACAGTTTGGGTAAGTCAGTTTAATTGTCTCGGGTATCACTATGGCTTCTTGATGCTGAATTAATGTCAAATAAACCATCCTTATAATCAGTTTAATTGCCTCTTTTTTTCTGATCTCCACACCAAGCACTTTCTGAAAGGATTTGACTCTGCTTTTAGAGATGGTAGATAAATGAGACGTACTTCTGATCTCAATGGGCAACCTGTTCCAGTGTCTCACCACCCTCACAGTGAAGAATTTCCTCCTAGTATCTAGTCTAAACCTACCCTCTTATAGTTTAAAATCATTTTTCCTCATTCCTCATGTCACTGCATGCCCTTCTTAGAAGACCCTGCCCAGCTTTCCTGTAGGCCCCCTTCAGGTACTGGAAGGTTGTTATAAGGTCTCTGGAGCCTTCTCTTCTCCAGGCTGAAGAGCCCCAGGTCTCTCATCCTGCCCTTGTAGGGAGTGTGCTTCAGTCCCCTGATCATCTTTGTGGCCCATGAAAGAGAAAAAACACATACTCTATATCTCTGCATTAGATATAAAAGATTCCGTCATCAAAATAGAGTACATCTAATCCTTCACATTCGTTTTCTCCTTGGTGTTGACTATTAGGTGACTAATAAAATTACATGAAGCCAATGCGAAGTGAGGGAAGGAAAGAAAAGAGTCTGTTATCTAATGTTGTTTCATAACAGGATATCATAAGGATGGCAATAGCAAGCACTTGATTATAATGGTTAGCAAAAGAGGAAGAGAGCCTAACAAAAGTATTTCAGAAAGAGCAGAACTCTTTTAATACATAACTTTGCCTCTTTAAACAAGATAAATCACAGTTAAAATCTGTTAAAAAATAGTTAAATGGATAACAAGAAAAATGTATGGATAAGTTTATACCAAATTCAGTGAAAATCAAGGAAAAGCTCTTTGCTAGAAGTCCTTTCATGACAGAAAAGATTTCTGACTGCTTCTTGCTCCAGTCCCTGCTCACAAAGTTAGCAGCCTGTCAACAGTGCTGCTTCAACTGTTTCTGAATTAGTGCTCTAAACTGAAGTTGTGAAATTATCTTGCATAAAGACAGCCCTCCTCCAATGAAAACAAACAAACTAAAGAAGTGCTCCTATGAATATTTTTACCTGGGCATGCTTCACAGGTCTGGTTTGGCAAGTTCACAGATAAGTTGAGATAAGTTCACAGAATGAAGGCTAGTGACCTGACCATAAGGCAGACATGAAAATGAAATCATTGAATCATAGAATGGCCTGGATTAAAAAGGTCTTCAAAGATTATCTTTGAGTTTCAGCCCCTCTGTCATGGGCAGGGTCACCAACTACCAGACCAGGCTGCTCAGAGCCACATCCAGCCTGGCCTTGAATGCCTCCAGGGATGAGGCATCCACAACCTCCTTGGGCAACCTGTTCCAGTGCGTCACCACCCTCTGTGTGAAAAGCTTCCTCCTGATATCTAACCTAAATCTTCCATCTTAGTTTAAAACCACCCCGCTTTGTCCTATCACTATCCACCCTTGTAAACTGTAAAGAGCTGTACCCCTCTTAGGACCTTAGGGTCAAAAGGAAAGTCAGGAGCAAAGAAGTCAGAAACCTTCTGAGGTTCCTCTTCTAATCCAGGAAGGGCTAAAGTGAAATGAAAAATCATAACCAATTTCTTGTTTCTAATATTTTTGCTATGCATACTAAATATTGCTACAATTCTCAGTAGAATAGAAAAATGAAGTTTGTGACTGACCTACTTGACTGTGAAGTAGTACATAACAAGTGACATATTTGCTAGTTTTTTCTGAACTTTTCATTCAGAATTCAGTTATTTTGAAGTATTAGAAAGTGCAATCAGAAAGTAGAACATTTCTATCTTTAGTGTAAAAAATGAGAAATAACCTGAAGTAAGATAAACTAATGAGCTTGTGACTTTTTGGTACTTTAATGATGTTTGTTTAAGGAATCAGAGGTTTCTCTTTGGATCAGTGTTTCTTCGATATGACCCTGTGTCCCTTGACTCTGTCCTAGAATTCATTCAAAGATCAAAGAAACTATGTTGGAGTATTCTCAGTTCTGCAGGGAAAAGGTAGGAGTTTAATACTGTTATAAGGTAATCTCTCTCCTTTCCCTTCTCTTCCTCTTCCTCTTCCTCTTCCTCTTCCCCTCCCTCCCAATAGAACCAAGTTACCCTAAAATAGACTCAAGTCCTCATCCCAAAGAGTTCCTTTCAGATTCCTTGGTTTTACTTTCTGTGCTTGCAATGGCACGCTGCCACTAGTTCTAAAGTAATCTACAGATGGGTTGCTATCACTTGAATTTTTAAGAAAACTCTACCTGTTAGCAGCCTTCCCCAGCATCAGAAACAAAGGCTCCCTCCTCTCCCTGCACCCCCTCTGGGTTTCTTGACCTTGTGCTCTTTTTGTTCTTACCAGCTGCCATCCATGTTTGCAGCTGCTTTCATGTTTGGCTTTTAAAACATAGGTATCTCGAGTCCATGAGCACTTTCAGGGGATGATGTAATCCAAGGAAAAACATTTTGGGTTGATCGAAATTGAGGCTTTGTGCGTGCTGCTCCCCCTCCTCTCTTCAGCTACATGGACGCAAAGAGCAAAATGGCCCATTATCTTCCTAAGTGCTGGATTCTTGTCAGCAGCATTTTACCGCTTAAATTACAGCATGTGAAGGCACAAGCATACAGAAGTGGAACATGTCTTTCTCTGCTCAGTAAATGCATGCAATGAATTATTGGTGCAGTCACTGCCCCAGCAGACATCAAGCTTTCCACCAACACACAGCCTGGTTAGCACCCTGTTGGGTCTATGCAGACCACGCCCACGAGTAATGTGCTTATCCAGAAGAGAATTCAGGCCACTTCTATTTTATTTATTTATTTAGGATCCACCTTTGCTTTCAGTAACCTGGGAGAGGATAAACATCCCTGCTTATGCATACACGCTTCACCACTACTGTCAGAAAGAGGGCACGTGCAGCGTGAGCCCCCTCCCTCATGGTGCCAGAAGCCATCAGCTGAGACACCTCCCCATTGGTAAACACCGGCCAAAGGGCGGCGGCCATTTTGATGACCCCCTGGCGAGCAGAGGGCCTGCATGAGAGCAGAGCTCTTCCCGGGGACCTGACATAGCGTCCACCAAATGTCGCCACTGCCCGGGCCCTTCCCGCCTTGGGGCAGGAGGTGGGGCAAGGACCCGCCCCTGCACGGCACCTCCTCTTGTAATTGGTGGCTTCGGAAGCGCCCTTTCTTTTGCTTCCAATCAGAGCTCCGCGTCCGTTGCTAAGCGACCGTTTCCAGGCAGCAGCTACCGCCGCCTCGGAGAGGCGATGGCCGCCATGTCGGACGGGTGGCGGGACGTGGCCGGGGTACGCATCGTCCCGCCCGAGCTGCGCTTCACCGCCGCGGTGCCGGGGCGCCGATACCGCGCCGCGCTCAGCGTCCAGAACCTGCGGGCGCAGAGCTGTCGCCTCCGGCTGCTGCCGCCGCGCCGGCCCCAGGTGAGGGGCGGCCGGGAGGGGTGAGGCGGTGGGTGTCTGCCCCTCAGCCCCCGGCCGGCCCAGCTCCGGCATGCGGAAATAACGGCGGCCGCTCGGGGGTCTTACGGCTGACTGAAGCTTGTCGGTGAAATGGAAGTTAGTTTGAAGTAGCTGATAAACTGGAAAGAATAGGTGATAATTCTTAGAGCCAGAGTTATCTGTATTCTCTCATTTAGCGGATCAGGGGGAATGTGCTAGGTTGCCTGCTTGAACCATGAGGAAGTGCTTTCTGAGGTAACTCAGGAAATGTTTGGCCCTGGAGTGTGTCCAGAGAAGGGCCGTGACGCTGTGAGGGGTCTGGAGCACAAGTCTTATGGAGAGCGGCTGGGGGAACTGGGGTTGTTCAGTCTAGAGAAATGGAGGCTCAGGGGTGACTTCATTGCTCTCTACAACCACCTGAAAGGAGGATGTGGTGAGGTGGGGATTGGCCTCTTCTCCCAGGTAGTAATAACTATAGAATAATAACTAGATAAGGCAATAAGATGAAAGGGAATGGTCTCAAGTTGTGCCAGAGGAGGTTCAGGTTGGATATTAGGAATAATTTCTTCTCAGGAAGAGCAGCAAGGCAGTGGCACAGGCTGCCCAGGGAGGTGGTGGAGTCACTGTCCCTGGAGGTATTCAAGAGCCGTGTGGATGTGGCACTGAGGGACATGGGCAGTGGGCATGGTGATAGGCTGCTGGTTGGACTAGGTGGTCTTAGAGGTCTTTTCCAACCTTAATTATTGCATGAAAAATATTCTCATATTGAATTTCAAATGACGCTGCTAAGCTGAAGCCTGTAAGTCAGAGTGCAATGACCTTCAGGCTCCTCAGTTCAGTATTTTCCTGAGGTGAGCAATTTGAAAAGAGCTTCCTTGTTTTTTAAGTCTATTATTCTAATAGAAATAATTAAGCTTTCTCACATGTCATACTACATAAAGAACTTTGTTTGTAGCAAATCCTGCTTAGCTTTTCTCGCTGGCTTTGTGCCTTTCAGAAATGTTATCTCTCAAGAAGCCTGTGAAACCCCTTTTATTTCAAGAAGATCCATATAAAAGCAGGTCAGATTTGTGAAGTGTTCCAGATTGGCTACAGATTGCAGCTTTTGCGATTGTTCTTTTCTGGGATTTCATAGCACTGATTGACAGCTCTGTTATGTCTCTGTTGTGCTCTCCTAAGTTTTCTGAGAGGAGTAGTCCATTTATAATGCTTGCTTGTGAAAGACTTTCTCAGAAAAGAGTTCTTCCATCTTTTCTAAAGGTGGCGTGATTCTCATTAGTTTCCCATTCATTCGTTAAGTTCTCATATTCATCTCATAACTTCTGGAAAAGTCATTGTTTATACAACCTTTAAAAATCTTTCCAATTGCAATGGATATAGCCCTTGGTATAGAATCTCTCTCAGATCATTAAGGTTGGTTGGACTAGATGATTCTAGTGCTCTTTTCCACCAAACTATCACCACCATGCCCACTAACACGTGTCCTTCAGTGATATGGGCCCAGCAAGACCCAACCGTGGTTAGTAGTTTTGCATTTGTCTCTCATCCAGCTAGTGTTTAACCTGTTAATTAATTCAAAATTAGGATCAAAATGTTGGACTTGTATTGGGGATGGAACAGAAGCTGATGTTGCCTTGTGCTCATAGCATTTTGAGCTTGATTTGGTAGGGCAGTGTTTATTGTGTTTTGTTTTCGTGAGCCTTATTCATCAATTTTTCACATTGTAGAAATGGGAAGGCAGAATCAATTTTAGAAGAGCAAAAAAGGCTTACTCAGTCATAATTTATGAATACAGTTACTGTTAGTAAAAGAAAAAAACCCAACCAATGAAGCAAACAAAAAATAGTCGATGCCTTAGGCTGAATATTTTAATGCCATCATCTGTGAGATGCCCAGTATGAGACTTAGGGTGAAGTGAAGTGTGACTTGTCTATAAATGTTCTGAAGTGTTACATTCATAGAGTGTAAGAACTGAAAATTAACCTTCCTAAGCTGCCACAGCATGAGGTTTAAATGTGCATTTCAAGGAAGTTAGTTCACAAGGCAGTTTTCCATGGGTTTCATTTAAAATTTAGCATTCTAAAATATTCATTTCCCCTTACACAGAATGAATATGCATGGATGTTTTAATTCTTTTTAGAGAAGAGGTAAATTGTTCGCACTTTAAATTGAAGTGTGACTATTTAAAAATCAACCCCATAATAACGTGATGCATTTCGCATGATAAATTTCTTCTAGTTGAGTATTTATATTGTTAGGGAAATTTTAATGGAATAGGAGATGTTCTAACAATGTAATCAACAAATATGCTTACGTTATTTTTTTGCTTACAAGTTCCAAATAAAGACTAGTACAGAAGACCAATCTTAGACTCCAAGAATACTGGGATGACTCTTTAGACATAAGCAATTAAAGTGGACGTGTACAGCAGAAGCCTGTTATGCGTAGAGTGATGTGAAGCATCAGTTTCTTGATCTGCTGATTAAATTTTCTTGGAAACACGGTAGCTGCAAGATTCCTCCTATGTTCTGGTGGTTTGCTCGTGAAGGGAGTATTGGATGTCAGCAGATACAAGAAGATACTTTGTGTCACCTACTTCTGTGTTTTTTTGTTTTTTTCTTGTTTGCTTGTTTTCCCTCTCACTTCTCCCTAAAGAAACTAAAAGTGCATGTATGCACCTTTCAAGCGGATTTTCAGTGTATAGTGGGGCTTTCAGTTGAATTCAGTGGAATTTAGGTCAGATCTACAGAAAATTCTTACGGAGTCTCTTTTTTGCTGCTTTGGATTGAGATTTAATCCTTGTTGCTTTTTCAGATATTAAAAAGAGTCTGTGTTATGTAGTAACTGCCCTTATCTTGCAGCGCTTCAGAATGTTCATGACAGCAGCAAAACTAGAGCTTTCTTGGAAGGACAAGAAACAGCATTTTGTTAAATCATCACTTCCTGAACCCATCAAATTGCATTATTAATTCAGCCTTTCTTTTACTGCTCGAGGGTGAATCACAGAATGGCTTTGGCTGGAAGGGATCTCAGAGCCTACGCTGCCCCAACCCCTGCTGTGGGCAGGGCTGCCTTCCACCAGCTCAGGCTGCCCAGGGTCCCATCCAACCTGGCCTTGAGCACCTCTAGGGATGGGGCACCACAGCTTCTTTGGGCAGCTGTGCCAGTGCAAATAATGTGAATGAATAAATAGGAAAAAGAATTTTACAAAATTCTGCATATTTTAAAACCAGTTGTGAATTTTAAATCAATCAGTGTGTTATTCTGAAAATGAGCCATATGTCTTTTCAATCTAGAAATGAAAATAAACATTTGCTATTTATTTATTTATTTATTTTTATGCTGCAGTTTAAACTGATTGTGGAAAATCCAGAAAACCTCGTTGCACCTGGACTTCAAATCAAAGCTTTTGTGGAATATTATCCTGAGATTGAAGAAGATCTTCAAGATAGCCTACCTCTTTTAATAGAAGAAGACATAGTTGATATCCCCCTGGTTGGGTATGCCTGTTGAAAGTTAATATTCTGTTACTGTTTTCAGTTTAATCTTGTGGGAAGTTTATGGCTACTAACTAATTTATCAACTGCAATGAAAACGAAGAGAGTTTCATTATAAAAGGTTTTTCTTTTTTTTTTTTTTCTTCTTTTGAGCAGTAGATGGGTAAGAAGTAGGGTTGGTGGTTCCTTTAATCTTAGAGAGGTTTTGGATTATTTACTTTACTCTGTATTGGTTGTGATAATGGGGTTATTATGAAAAACCCACTGTGTAATAAGTTTTGTAATAAGATCACACATTTGAGGACCATTTTCATTAGTCTATGTGTAATTTTGTGTGTGTGTGTGTGTATAAAAAGATATGCCTATATATTGTATATACACATTACATTGATTCAAAAAATTAAGCTTCCAAATATGTTTCATCAGCCTTGGGCTATATGATGATAAGATGTAATTGTTCTGGAGGACTTTTTCTCCTTTGTCTATAAAGAAAAAGGATAGAATGACAACAGCTGTAGCTTTCAGATTGCTAAGTTATGGCAGATGAATTCCTTCTCAACATAAACTCTAACAGTATGCTTATTTTCAGACTAAGTATGTTATCTAAGTTTCATGCTTTTTTATTTTCTGGGCTGATACTAATATTTGCTAATCTAAGCCACAGGTCAAAAAACAGATTCTTACCATCATTAGTCTTAATATTAGAAAACTCTGGGGTCAAATAATTTAAATGGGCTTAGTTATAATTCTACACATTTGACTGATTTCATAGTATGGTAAAAGTAATTGTTAGTGTATACTAACAGTAAAGGTTATTAGAGAGAAAAGAATTGTAAGATGGAGAGAGAGAGAGAGAGAGAGATTTCTTTTTCTGGAAGACAGGGATGCTTTTATATGCTGTTCTTAGGGTTAAGTTATCACATAATACATGTGGAACCTAGAATTTCTTCTGTTGATCCTTCTGGTATGGCAGATTTCTTGAGAGTTATTAAGAAGTAGCTGTCTCTAAATCTATTCTGCAATGGTGCATTTCCTTGAAGAGATCTGTTCTTTTTATTGGTTGCTATTCTGGAGATAAGACCTCCTTGGACAGAATTCACTTACAGAAATAAAGCTGCTGGCAACCTCTTTCTGAAAAGGACTTGCAGTAGATTGCTAAGTTTGTATTCAGTTGTTGTATTAAAGGGTCACTAAATACGTAAGATTATTCTGTACAAAGAAATCTTTAAACACTATTTAAAAACTATTTATTAATTTGAGAAAATAATATAGGTAAGAATATATGAGAACTCAGTGGTTGAGAAATACTAATCGTAGGGTTTTCTTTTCTTTTTTTTTTTTTTTAAAGAAGGTATTACTTTTGAAATGCATGCAGAAGTCTTTAATGTGATGGAAAACATTGCCAATATAAAAAAAAAAAATTGCAAATTGTGTTTGGAGGAAGCCAGTGTTGTCTCTTACCTCCTTTTCCTCCAACTGGAATGAATACTAGCGTGTAGCTCAACTTCCTGTATATATATTTTTAATAACTTTTATTATTACTAATGCATCGCATCATCAGAAACATGTAATATACATTAATCTTATTTTTCCTAAAGTGTCAAAAGTTGAAATAGACAATCTTAAAATCATTAAGTATGTGCTTAGATGTCTCTCTGTGTGTTGTGTATGTTTTTGTGACACATAAACAGAACTTTTATCATTCTGATAATTCTGAATTCTGACTTCTGGCCACTTCAGGTACTGTGCTTTTCATTTTCTATGGGGAATGATGCTGAGTCTGTGTACTGGTGGTACTTTTAAAAAGTATTCACAAATATACTTCTGAAAAACAGAACTACATCTTAGGGCATATGAGAGTGTGTTCAGAAAATTCATAAAAGTAATCCAAGAATAGAATAAAGAATGCTTGGAAATTACTGATATTATTTGGACTGGCCTCTTTAAATGTCTGCTACTTCCCTCTTAGGTATCTGTTTATTTCCAGTCTTCTGTGTTTCAAATCATACAGTTTTTCACCTTTCATTTCAGCTCTAAATATGCTTTGGATCTTATGTAGAAATATTTCATATTTCTGATGAAACTTTTTGGAAGAATGTCTAAATAGTTGGTGGATGTTGTGAAGTCTTTAAGATTTGTTCAAGTGTATTCTAATTTTGTCTTGATAGAGTTGTTTTGGTGATTTTGTTTTTACCCCTACGTTCTGCTGGGCTTGATCATCCCTATCAAGAATTCACTATTTTATTTTGAATTTCAATAAATTCTTATTGAAAATTAAAACCAGTGTATTATTATGCCCAAGAGCAAGTTCTTTTGTTGCATTCCCGATTCCTTGTTTTTTCCTTCCTTCCTTTTCTCCCACTGCCTTTCACTTGCTCACTCCTGTCCTCATGAAAAAGGTTTCATGGGTAGGGTTTACTTAGCTCTCCAAGGAGATTATTTTCTTTCTCCTGTTAGTCTTTTGTACAGGAAGCAATGCAGACCATAAGACGCAAATTGTTGGTAGGTACTTGTAGGTAAGAGAAGAAAGACAGCTGTGCTCATACAAAATCCTAATTCATTTTGAATGCAATTTTACATGAGATCAGAAGTGTGCTTGCATTAGTGACTGAAGCTTTTACAAGTTTGCTTAAGGAAGCAGCAGCTTTTCATTATGGCTAAGCAATTCCCACCCTATCCAGTGAAGTTGTTGTGCTGGAAGATGCTCTTAAGTAAATAACAGAAATAATTTGTCATTACTCACTTCCTGTGTTGTAATATATTCTATAGAAGCCACATGAAATATCTATAAAACAAGAAGACCAAATTGAAATGGGCATGCATATATTTGCTCTGCTTTTAGTTCAGGCAGCTGATAATGAAATACGGCGAATGTCAACTTCTCTGCTGCAACTGACTCAATATAGTGAAAGCTTTTCTAATTAATTAAAGTTCTTTGTATTACAATAATGTATTTGAAACTAAATAGAAATGTATTCATTCCATTTTGCCTAAATATTTGAGGATAATTTGTACTAAAGTCACAGTCATTTAACAGCTTGATAGCTAATCGAATTCCTTAAAAATACAAATTTATTTTCAAGTTTTGGGAGGATATAACCATGTCTTTTTTCTTTTTCTTTTTTTTTTTCTTCTCCTTTCTGCAGGTTAATTCCATCCTGTTATCTGGAAACTGAGCCAGAGGTTGATTTTGGTACAGTGGTTGCAAGCAGTAAAATAATTAGTAAAGAGATTAGTATTGCTAACCATGGATCATTGTCAGGTAAAAGTTTAGTACGCATTAAATTGTGAAAGTTTTTCTTCTTGGAAAATATAATTTTATGTAAGTTCTGAGTTGCACATTTAATGAGTATTGTGGCTTCATGAGTTGGATTTACATGGCAAGATTTTGGTAGTGAGAAGAGCAGCTCGGGGGACTTCTATGAGCAGAACCTAGCAGTGCCCCATGTCAGACCAGGGCGGCTTGGAGTGCTGCAGCCTGTGGGAAACCCATGTGGGGTCACTACGGGAAGGATGGCATCCCATTCTGTGGGAGGGACATCACATGGAGCAGAGGAAGAGAGTGACCATGTAGGAACGGCAGAGATAAAGCCGTATGGATTAACTGCAGCCCCAACTCCCTGTTTCCCTGCCATTCAGGGGGAAGAGGCAGAACAGGGTGGATAGAGGGAAGGTGATTTTTGTTTTTGTTTTCACTGATTTAGTCTGTTTTCATTAAGCAATAAATTACATCAATCTCCCTTATGCTGAAACTTTGCCTATACTCCCTTTGCCCATGACAGTAATTGTCCTGATCTGAACCTGTAGGCATCCTCCCCCCCCCTTCCCCATTTTCTTTTCTTCCTCTGTCTTAATGAAGTGGAGTGAGAGTGGTGTGTGATGGTGCTGAGCTCCCTGTCTGAGTTAAATCACCACTGTTTTATTAATGGTCCATTACTTCTGTAGGCAGTACAGAAGTACTGTCTGCTCAGGGAAGAAGCACTAGTTTAGCATCTTGCAAAATTCTTTTAGGTCTTTTTTCCTGAATCATGTTTGATAGATATTATTATAAGTTTCTCATTAGCTCAGTATGTCCAGCATAAATAATAGTGAATCACCTCTGCTCTTGCTTTGTGTGTTGTCTCTGTGATTTTCCGATCCCACTAGTTGTCTGTTGAATAAATAAACACAAGCTCCCTGTACTTTCAAAGTCTCTGGAATGGGAATTGAATCATATACTTTATGAGAAGTTAAAAAAAAAAAAAAAAAAAAGTCTTTCCTCTTTCTGCCATAGCATTTGAAATCATAACACTCTCAAAACATTAAAATCCTTCAACTTCTTTGAGGGACAATTCTAAGAATTATAGGAAACATGAAGACTGGAGTGTAAGAATGCCTATGTGATCTACATAGTCTCTCTGACTTCCTTTTCTTCTAGTAAAAGCTGCAGATACCTTTCCTCAGAAATTAGGTGGGCCTCACCTGGAGTTCTGCATCCAGATGTGGAGTACAGGAGGGATGTGGTCTTGTATAATTAGAGCAGAATTTGTTTGTATCAATCAAAACCAAGAAAAGCGGATAGCCAGTTTAAAGATAATTAAAACAAACTCAACAATACCAAAACCTGTTTACCTCTGACAATGTGATTTGGATAGTAGCTGTGGTAAGACAAGTATATAAGCATAGGCTGAAATGCTTAAGTGAATATTATTTAAAGTAACTTAGAAGACTCCAAGGAATGCTCAAAATATAGGGTTTTTATTTTAAAAGTGGATTTGACTATGAAGTCTTGCAGCATACTCAGGTTGTGAATTCATTTATTAATAATAATGAGCTATGTGAAAATCTTGAGCTAGGGGTAACATACAGTTTAAAAGAAGATGGTATGTTTATTTGAATAATGTTAGCATGCCACAGAAGAGCAATTTGTGAGAGTTTCTAAATTAATGAAGTTTCATGTCAGCAATTCAATTTATTCCGTGTTACAGCTCTTCAAGTTTTTCAAGGCTCTAGCTGGTTGGACTGTCAGAAGTTAGGAGAAAACTAAATAATTCTTCTTATCCTAACTAACTGACTAAAATTTGTAATGAAAACACTTCACTTTTTTTTTTTTAAATATACATATTAACTTTTAATTTGAGGAATGATGATTAGATAAATGAGATTATAAAACATATATTAGTTTCAAATACATTCATAATTTACATAACGTGAAGATTTTCATTTTGTATAGGAACCGGTTTTATTTATAAACACTGCTGCACAGTACATACAGAAGCCTGTCATTTGCTATTGTAAATGTTTAATAGAGGTTTATAAATCTACAAATTCAATGTTGTTTAATGTATTGTTTTTTGCAGGTACATTTAAAATATCATATACTGGGGATATTCTGCTTGACATAGAACCTACCAGTGGAGTGGTAGAGCCCAAATCTTTCAAGGTGGTTAAAGTGCATATCTTTACAGATGTTCCAAGAATCATCAACGAAATGATAAAGTGAGTATATGACTGATATAATTGCAGTCTGTAAATTACATTCTTGTCTGTTATTAATTCTAAAAAATTTATGAATTTGTTTGCCTAGACAAAACAAAACAAAAAGCTCCCAAGTTTGGTATAGATCATAGAATCACAAGGTTGGAATGGACCTACAAGATCATCTAGTCCATCCTGGTTATTTTTATTTACCTTTTCCTCTAAGTTTTTTTTTTTTTTTTTTTAATCTCTGATCAGAAACAAATTTCTCAGAGGATTATTCTCTTTTGTATTTTTGTAAAAATTATTTTCTGTTTTGGTGAATTCAGTGATTAGAAGCTGAAAGATGACGTTCAGAGAAGTTGAGATTCTCTTGAACATCTGCTGTGGCATTATATATCTGACGATTCAAAGCAAAGAGTTTACAGCTCTGAAGCTATTGAAAAGTAGAGTTGGTTCTGTTAGAACAGTGTATTACATTACTACATTTGATTCTTTTGTACAGTAAGAACAAAGATTGTTGCAGTAGAATAAGATTTATACAACATCTATATGGTCCTTTGGTGTTTAGTGCTGTCATGAAAATCGGGCATTCAGGAAGGAACAATACCTGTTCTATGTGTACATCTAAAATGAACTTCTAGCTCCAGTTTTCTGAGAGAAAATTACAGGTATACACCAATATGGATTTTCAGATACACAAATTGTCAGAGGAAAAACAGGAACGTATCACTGGTGGACACCTGATGCTTTTGAGGTGCCATCCCTATTGTTTGAAACAACAGTGTGCTAACACAACTGAGAAGAGGAGGGGAAAGAGGAAAAACTGGAAAAATTCCCCCAAACCTTATACTGCAATGTGTGAATTTTATGTATTTATTTATTTTTGTGTGATTGGTGATATATCTGCTAAGTATTGTATGTTGAGTATACTCTTTTGCTTTTATTATCTATGGGACAATAATTTTAGTTTAAATGTTTTGATTTGTTTTAGTTTGGGTAGTTCTAATGAAAAACAAAGTGGTTATTTCTAACACTGGTCTACATAACCTATAATTTGCTACTTTTATTGACAGAGTGGAGACGGAAGGATGTAGCTCCATGGAAGTATGGATCAAAGCTGTTGTTGTGGAACAAGTTCTTAAAGTTCTAGGACTGCCTTCTGAAAATGTATTGGAATGCATTAATTTTGGACCGGTTTATTTTGGGTCTTCAAAGACTAAACAAATATCTTTACACAATGATAGTCCAGAGTGTTTGGACTGGGTAGCAGTACTGGAAGACAATGCTATTGGAGGGGAGATGGTAAGATTATATATATATATTTATATATTAGTTAAAAGCTTATTTCTGCTTTTGCATTTTTGTTTCTCCACGCTGATCTTCTAACTGCATTGATGGTGTCATACTACATCCTGATTAGTAAACTCACTGTCACTTCTCCCTAGTCTACAAAAGTTACTGTGTCTTTACTTTGGAATTAATTTTTTTTCAGGTATTTGTTTCACCATGTGACATTGTAGCATTAAGAATGTTAATTATGTTCCTTTCTTCCTCCTCTCCCTTTTTTTTTTTTTTTTTTTGGTGGTGGTTTTGCTTAATGCATTTGCTGTGATTTGAGAGTTGTCAAAACATATTCTGGTATTGCAGAATGTTGAATGATTACAGTTTCAATTGTTTTTTTTTCTGTGATAGTGAAAAAATTTGACTAGCCATCACCTTAAAAAAATAAAAAAGTAAAACATTTATGTAAAATTAGTTAATTAGTTGCATGTTGTGAAAATATATCTTGCTGGTATTTCCTAGGTTACATCTTTTTACTTCTTGTGAAAGATACAAGACTGCAGAGGGGGAAAAAAAAATAAAAACAACAACAAAAGCCAAAAAAAACAAAACCAGAAAAGAATTTGAGAACATAAAATGGCAAGCTGAGCTGTTGACATATCCATGTTTTGATTTTTCTTTTAGGGAACAGATATACAGAAGAGTGCAGATGCTGTTTTACAAGATTTAAGCTTAATAAACAAAACAAGGGATTTAGATGTTTCCACCTTGATTTGGTGCATTCCTGATCAGGGAACCTTGCCTCCTTATCAAAAGTCCATGGTTACACTGTGCTTTTGTCCAAAGTGAGTGAGTCTCATGTGATACTGTGAATTACAAATGTACTTGGGATGATGCATCCTTGGGTGTATTTCCAGACTGGGGGAGGAGAGCCTGGATAGCAGCCTTGCAGAAAGGGATCTGGAGGTTCTGGTTGATGAGAAGAGAAGTTGTAGAAGAGTCAGCAGTGTCCTGTGGAAGCAAATAGGGCCAACTGTACTATGGGGTACGTCAAGCCTCCCATTAGCTGGGCAAGAGAAAGGATTGTCCCAGTCTGCTCTGTGCTGGTGAGCCCTCAGCATGTGCAGAGTTTTGACTAGTGCAGTAAAACATGATGGATGGACACTCGCACTGGCTGCTCAGGGCATTGGGCATGGCCCCAAGTGCTGGAGTTAAGAGCATTTGTACAATGCACCCACACAGGTTTTGAATTTTAGGTGGTCCTGTGTAGAGCCAGGAGCTGGATTCAATCATCCTTGTGGGTCTCTTCCAACTTGAGATATTCTGATTGCATGGTTCTATGAAGTTAAGTCTGAAATAGTTATTCTGGAGATGTTTTGTAGTTCATAAAAGATGCCTATGGACCAGGAATTGAGTAAGCTTCTTTTGAGATAAGAATAATCTTAGTAGATTTTGCAAAGGGAATGAATTACTGCTCCAATTAAATGTATTGAATCTCTGAAGATTGAGAAAGTTCTGTCAAAGAGAAAGAGCAAAATGTCTTTTTCAGGACATTAGACTTATTTCATTAAGTTATCATATATGTGCAGCAATATGAAAGAGTAGATATTTCATCACCAAGAGACTGAAACATTTTGGAAGAGCTTTCTTTGTAATTAAAAAATAGTAGGCATAATGGAACATTTCTCCTTCAAACAAGGAAGACAAACAGGAAATGGAATGAGCACTTTCTCTTACTGAAACTCTTATAAGTGGTTTATGTGCATGCAATCTTTAGAAAACTATTGTTTTCTAAATATGTGAATGGTAAAGATATCTAATAACTAGCATCATAAGCATACAGATTCAGCTCAGTTAAATTTGTTACCTTTCAATTTTTTTACAGAAACTGTAAAAATATTTTTTTTCATTCGGTAATCAATAGCAAAGAAGCTGAAGTAGATGATAAAAATTAAGCTGTTTGTTTGTTTGTTTTTTTTAATCTTCTAATTAGAGATTATGACTCTTAACAGGAAATTTAAAGGGGCCTTTGTAGCGAATGATTCACCACCAAAACAAGATTATCTATTGTTTCTGAGATTTGAGGCTGCTGGTAATAAAGATCTGCAGACCCCCAGTGATGGTACCACACCAAGTACAAGTATGTTATGGAAGTGTATAGTCACTGTATATGGATGATAAAATTGTATATCTTGATTTTTTTTTTTTTTTTTTAATTTCTTCTACCACTTAACAGTGTTATAGGAAGCTTTTATGCCTTAGCATCAAAATCTGTTGTGAGTAGAAAGAGTTGAGTGTATTCATGCATGCCATGAATGTATCTGTTGGTAATGAACAGCTGAAACTTAATGTAAAAAATTTGCGTGGGAAGAGACAAACACCAACATCCATTTGTAAGTCACTAGCACATGGGTTATACATTTAGCATTTTGAAGATGAAATTATATTCCTTTTAAACTTAATAAAAGAACAATTTATTTTCTAGCAGCCTTTATCAGTAAACATACCTACGTTCAAATCTTATAGAAAACTGCCTCATAAATCATAGGGTCTGGCAGTGTTATTTTGCTTTTACAACCATACAGCTACAGCGTGATGGTTCTTCCTGGTATGCTAATACATTTCTAAAGTAATGTATGAGTGGTGGTGGTTGTTGTTTAATTACTATTTTTTGTTTGTGTGCATTTCTAACACAGAGAATCGTCCGAATAGCATGGAATTGGCTGTGACAGGTTCTGCTCTTCCTGTCATGTTAACTTTTAATCGAGGACCTGTAATTAAGTTTATGGACTGTTACCTGGGTGAACAAACACAAGTTTTGTGCACACTAAAAAATGAATCTGAGTTCCTTCCAGTAAAATTCAGTTTCCGCAAGACTGCTCACTTTAATATTTCTCCTGAAAAAGGAAAAATAAAAAAAAGTTCTACTAAGGTAATTATCTCTTTCTCATAGATTATATACATATGTAAGTTATTTTACATGGATCAGTAGTGGAATTTCTTTAAAGTAAAACAGAATAATTTAATTTCAGCAGCTATGATATTTAATATCAGCTAAATGCCTATTTTTTTTTTTCTCCTTATGTAATTTAATCACAGAATCATAGAATGGCCTGGGTTGAAAAGGACCACAATGATCACCTAGTTTCAACCCCCCTGCTATGCTATGTGCAGGGTCACCAACCACCAGACCGGGCTGCCCAGAGCCACATCCAGCCTGGCCTTGAATGCCTTCAAGAATGGGGCATTCACAACATCCTTGGGCAACCTGTTCCAGTGTGTCACCACCCTCTGTGTGAAAAACTTCCTCCTAATATCTAATCTAAACCTCCCATATCTCAGTTTGAAATCATTCGCCCTTATCCTATCACTATCCACTCTCATAAACAGCTGTTACCTCTCCTGTTTATATGCTCCCTTCAAGTACTGGAAGGCCACAATGAGGTCTCTCTGGAACCTTCTCTTCTCCAAGCTAAACAATCCCAGTTCCCTCAACTCTTCCTCATAGGAGAAGTGCTCCAGCCCTCTGATCATCTTAGTGGCCCTCCTCTGGACCCACTCCAAGAACTCCATGTCCTTCCTGTACTGGGAGCCCCTGGCCTGGATGCAGTACTGCAGTACAGAGAGGTTCAATCACCTCCCTCTCCCTAATAGTCAGTAAAATTAATTTGTGGCCCCCCTCTGCACCTGCTTGAGTAGCTCCACTTTTTTTTTTTTTTTAAACTGGTGTCCCCAGTCCTGGAAACAGGACATCAAATGGGGCCTCATGAGATCAGAATAGTGGGGAACAATCACCTCCTTGCTCTGCTGGCCACTCCTTTTTTGATGCAGCCCAGGATACTATTGACCTTCTAGGCTGCAAGCACACACACTACTGGCTCTTATCGATCCAGGACACCCAAGTCTTTCTTGGCAGGGCTGTTCTCAGTGTGTTCTTCTCCCAGTCTATGCATATGTTTGGGAATGCTCCAACCTTTGGCCACTGATGCCATCACTCCATTGTAGGAGACCACCAGAATGGCGAGGCACAATCTGCTCTTGTTGAACCCGTGCTGGCTGTTTTGGATCACCTCATCTCACATGTACCTTAACGTATCTTCCAGGAGGATTTGCACCATGAACTTTCCAAGCACAGATATGAGGATCTTGTAGTTCCGTAGATCTTTTCTCCCTTTCTTGAAAATGGGAATGACGTTTCCCTTTTTCTAGGCACCAGGAACTTCAGCTGACAGCCATGACTTTTCTAATACAATTGAGAATGGCTTGGCAGCTACATCAGCTGTTTTTTTTTTTTTTCAGGCCCCTTGGATGCATGTTGTTTGGTCCCATAGACTTATACATGCTCCGCCTCATGAGGTTGTCTCAGACTTGCTCTGCTCTTACAGGAGGAGGGGTTTTGCTCCTCTGTTCCCTGCCTCAAGTTTCAGGAATATGAGAGGTTTGAGAAGCCTGACTACCAGCAAAAGCTGAGGCAAATAAGTCATTGAGTACTTCAGCTTTCTCTATGCCTGTTGAAGTCAGTTTCCCTTCTTATGTGTTGCAAGAGGTACATTCTTCTTTGTCTTTCTTTTCTGACCAATGTTTTTAAATAAACTCTTGTTATTTTTTACATCCCTCAACAAGTTCGGGTCCATCTGTGCCTTGGCCTTCCTAATCCCATCTCTGCATGTCCAGATACGATCGCTGTATTCTTCCCAAGCCACCCATCCCTGCTTCCACTGCCTATCTCTTCCTTCTTTTCTCTCAGTTTGACCAGCAGGTCCTTGCTCAGCCATGCCAGTTTTCTCTCTCCCCTGCTTGATTTCTTGTGCTGGGAGATGGAGAGCTTTTGTGTTCTCAGAAAGGTGCCCTTAAAAAGCTGCCAGCTCTGTTCCATTTGTGTGTTCACAGTTTCCTAGTGGATCACATCCAGTAATTCCTTAAACAGCCTCAAGTTCAGTTTCCTGAAGTTCAGGGTCCTGATTCTGCTCTCTGCCAGGCTTGTGTTCCTCGAGATCACAAATTGAAACAGGGTGTAGTCACTACAGCCCATGCTGCCTTCAATTTTAACCTCTTTAATGATCTTTTCTGAATTGGTGATCATCAGATACAGTAATGTTTCTTCTCTGGTCCATCCAATTCCCGAACCAGGCAGTTATCCTCAACAGACTTCAGGAGTTTTCTGGACTTCTTGCCACTCACTGTGTTGTTTTCCCAGCAGATATCCAGGTGGTTAAACCCTCCCCCCACCCCCCACACCCAGAATAAGAGCATGAAAGCTCTCCTGCCCCTCCTACCTTGCCTATCAATTTTAAAAAACTTGTAGCCCTCAATCATGGCATTGTAGTTCTGTGATTTGTCTTACCGTGTTTCTGTGGTAGCAATTAGGTCATAGTTTTCTAACTGCACCGTGGTTTCTATCTCCTGCTTATTTCTCATGCTGCGTGCCTTGTAGAGGCATTTCAGCTGGGCTATGGGCCACATTATTTTTCTGGAGTTGCTCCTCCAAAATCCTTTTACTTTCATTTTGCCTGGATTTAAGTTTTTGGCATTTTACTGTCTTGAGAGGATTAAGCTGTTGCAGGATTATTTTCATTTCCTTCTGTTTATTGCAAGTACTTGGGTAACATAATATTTCTTTAATATAAGAAGCTATGCTAAATTTAATTTGAATATGGAAGCAATTACAATTTAACAAACCTGTCATTTGGGACATGAAAAAATTGTTAATCATCTCAGAAATGAGCTAGCAGGATTTTGCTGGTGTTCTATAGTGTAGCTGTATGTATGGGTGCATGTGTGTAATCACTGGCATACTTCTAAAGCACAGTGCTGAACACATCTTTATAAGTAAACAGAGAGAATAGTGAATCTGTTAAACAGAATTACATATTTAGTTTACATTTTTCCTTTGTAATGTCTCCTAACCACTTTTCTTTTACAGGATTTGATATTTTCATTTTCTCCACATCAGATTGGAATATTTGAAGTGAAGCAGGTTATTGACATCATTGGTAGAGAACTAGAGAAAAATAATTTACAACTTTCAAAGACAAAATCTATTCACCAAATATATCTGAGCTTTATTGGTGTGTGCAAATCTAAACCAAAAGCTATTTTATTCAGAATTAATCCCGGTAAGTTCCTAAAATCATAAGTGATAAGTGATAAAATATTTTAACAACTACATTTTTGATGATTTTTTAAAATACTATTTTTAGTTTATTTTTAAAAAATAATTTCTCCTTGGGAGTTGACAGAATGCTCAGCTGGATAATGTATCCCCAGAAGAGTATAAAATGCAAGGGAAGTGGCTTGTATTTTAACCGAAGTGCACTACTAAAGAATAACTTTTCATCATTTGATTATTTAACTCCGATACATCAGTAAATGAAGTGTTCTGTTTTTGCCAGTGATGCCATTACTCAGTGCTAATGTGTTTTAGTTTTCAGCTGCAAGACAGGTGAAGCACAGGACAAAGTAAGAAGGACAACAGGGCATTCCTTATTGTCTTTATGTTACTACTGCTAGATGAATTTGCCAATTTATAGAGTCTGCTAGTTTTCCTATATCCCATGATTCTTCCCAATTTGCAAAGGCTACGATGGCATAAAAATCTTTCAGAATATGTCCAGTAATTAGCTGATATGTATATTATTCACATTTTATTTGGTTGAGATTTCAAGTCCTTATAAAAAATGTGTTTGTAATACCATATTTTTTAGTAGTTTTAGATTATATATTTATATGTAGAATGGTCTGCATCGTAGAACAGCTTGAGTTGGGAGGGACCTTAATGACCATCTAGTTCCAGCTCCACTGTCATGAGTAGAGATATCTTCCACTAGATCAGATTGCTCAAAGCCCCATCCAACTTTCCCTTGAATATTTCTAGGTATGGGGCACCCACAACCTATCTGGGCAACCTGTTCTATTCCCTTTCCACCCTCAGAGTGAAGAATTTCCTCCTAACATCTAATCTAATTCTATTTATTTATTTATTTACTTACTTGCTTACTTACTTCTAAAACTGTTTCCCCTTTTCCTATCATTGTCTCCTTGTATAAGAAGTCTCTATCTTTAAGTACTGCAATGAAATTCCCTCAGAGCCTTCTCTTCTCCAGACTGAAAGGCCCCATCTCTCAGACTTTCTTCATAGGAGCAGTGATCCGGCCCTCTTCTGGTCTTGCTCCAACAGGTCCATGTCTGTTTTATGCTGGGGACCCCAGAGCTCATTGCAGTATTGTAGATGGGTGTAGTGGAAATACTAAGTCATGGCTTGAAACAGTGATTGAGCAACTGGTGGGAAGGCAGGACCAATTCAGGGGAGCTCAGGTGCATGCAGTGCACCTGAGTGATGGGAAGGGGTGGAGCCAGAATCCACCCCTTCTCAGACCTCATTTAAGGCTTGGCAGTGGAGGCAAAGGTATCTTGCTGGAGATCCCTGTGTACCTGACATCTTTTGAAGGTTTGTAGCAGAATCTTTCCTTTATTTCTGTGGCTACAGCTACTGTGGCCTAGGACTGTGCTACTCTGCTGTCATTGCACTTTCCATTGAGTTACAGTGTTACAGTGGCTCATGGGAATTGAGTAGAGGGAGAGTCATATTCTTCTGCCTGTTAGCTACTTTGTGCATGTGTGTGTGCACGCAGCTTTAGAATATGGTTGGCTTTCTGGGCTGCGAACACGCTTTACTGGCTTGTGTTGAACTTCTCATCAACCAGTGTCCTTGACTGGGTCCTGGTGAGATGTATCTCGGAGTCCTGGGGTGATTGTAGTCACCAAGCCACTCTCAATGATATTTGAAAAGTTGTGGCAATCAGGTGATGTCTGTGGTGACTGAAAAAAAAGGCAACATTGCACCCATTTTTTTAAAAAGGGTGAAAGAGAGAACTTCCAACCTGTCCATCTCATCTCTGTGCTGAGGTAGATCATGGAACAGATCTTCCTCAGCTATGCTGAGACACAGGGAAGGTGGGGAGAAGGTATGAGAGAACCAGCCTGGCTTCACTAAGGGCAGGATTGATCAACTTAGTGGCCTTCTAGGATAGTGTCACTGTGTCAGTAGATAGGGAAGAGCCACTGATGCCATCTGTAATTCAGTAAAGTCTTTGACGTGATACCCTACAACATCCTTCTCTCCAAATTGGAAAGATAGATTTGATGGGTGGTCTGTTCAGTGGGTGAAGAACTGGCTGCAGTTCTGCAAGTCCAGAGAGAGGTGGTCAATGGCTCAATGTTGAGATGGAGATTGGTGATGAATGGCATCCCCCAGGATTCAGTGCTGGAGCTGATACTCTTTAATATCTTCATTAATGATATTGATGGGGTCAAGTGCACCCTCAGCCAGTTTGCTGATGACACCAAGCTGTGGGATGTGGTTGACATACTAGAGGGATGAGATGCAATCCAGAGGGACCTAGGCAGGCTTGAGCTGTGGGCCCAGGTGAACCTCATGAGGTTCAACAAATCCAAATGCAAGATCTTGCCCCTGGGTCAGGGCAACTCCCATTATCAGTAAAAGCTGGGGAATGAAAGGATTGAGCACAGCCCTGCTGAAAAAGACCTGGGGATACTGGTAAATGGGATGCTGGACATGAGTCAGTAGTGTATCCTCGCAGCCCAGAAAACCAACTGTATCCTGGGCTGCATTCAAAGAAGTGTGGCCAGCAGGTTGAGGGAGGTGATCCTTTTCCTCTGCTCTGTGCTGGTGAGGCCTCACCTGGAGTACTGTGTCCAGATGGGAAGTCCTCAGGACAGGAGAAACACAAACCTGCTGGAGTGTGTCCAGAAAAGGGCCACAGAATGGAACGTCTCTTCTACAAGGACAGGCTGAGAAGGCTGTGAGGTTACCTGATAGTGGCTTGTCAGTATCTAAAGAGGAACTACAGGAAAGAAGGGAACTGTTTAGCAGGGTCTGTGGTGATAGAACAAGGGGAAATCTTTTCAAGCTCAAAGAGGGTAGATTTAGGTTAGATGTAAGAAAAAAATCTTTTACAGTGAGGTTGGTGAGACACTAGAACCAGTTACCTAGTGTGTGGTTGATGCCCTATCCCTGGAGACTTTCAAGGTGAGGCTGTATCAGTCCAAGATGGGAGCCTTTCTTTTCCATCAATCGTACTGCTCAACTTGGTGTCACTGGTAGATTTGCTGAGGGTGCACTCTGTTCCACTGTTCATATTGCTAACAAAGATATTAAATAGTGAAGCCATGTTGGCTGTCATCTCTTATTTTCTATGTGCATTAGCATAGTTTCTGTGATCTTACTGGGTATAGAGGTGAGACTGACTGGTCTGTAGTTCCCCAGATCATGTTCCCACTTTTCCAGTCAGCAGAGACTTCAGCAGACTGCTGCAACTTCTCAAGTATGATGAATAGTGGCATAGCAGCTTAGTCCAGTAGTTTCCTTAGGATACTTGGATGCATCTCATGAGGTCCCATGTATTTGTATGTGTTCAAGTTTCTCAGGTGGTGCAGTTGATTCTTCATTCTCCCAGTCCCTGCCTTTGTCTTTTATTATTTGAGTGGTGCACTTGCCAATGCAGACTGAGGCAAAAAAAAGTTCAGTACCTTAGTCTTTTTCATGTCAGTTGTAGCCAGCAATGTATATATAAATATAATTTGTGTGCACATGTGACACACATACATATTCAAAAAAACATTTTATGTATAGTAATAATCATCAGAGTTTAAGCTTATTGATATTTCTTGATTACTCTTTCACATTCAAAGCCCTTGACAACTGTCAGCTTTTCTAACTGCTGTTTTCTTCCATTCGTTCTATCAGCCCTATTTTTTTTTCTCCGACTTGAAGGCTTATAAAGAGGTTATGATTTTAAGCTTTATTGAAATACGGGAGCTAATTGAAGTTTCTTGTTCCCTTCTCCCAGTCTGTGTGGATGAGTTTGTTTTTGTCTGTGTATTTGGTGGAGCCAGTGAGGGTCTGAAATGAAGCTGCTAGTAAGTTATCTGCCTGTGCAGTGGAAGCGATTGTAATCAATCCTATAGTTTGGAGGATGGCAAATAGTGCCCCAGCTGGATGCAATACAAATTGTTTGGTCTGTAGTGTGTGTGTGTGTGTGTGTGTATTTGATTATGGTGAAAGTAGATGGCTCTTCGAATGGTCCTCTTGTCCAGTGAAAGATCAGTGGGGATGGATGAATGCAATTGTTGGGCTACTGAGTGGACTGTTATAAATTACGAAGTATTTTTCTTATGTAGTACTTTGAATTCTGATTCAAAATTACAAATATAAATATATGTAACATGTTTTATTTGAATTTTAAGGTATAACACCAATGATTACCAATGCAACTGGACGGTTTGTAGCTGATGACACAGGACAGTGCACTGATGTTGCGCCTATGGCAATACTTAAATCAACCAAAACACAAATTCATACTCATCAAATAAACAGGAATTGTAAGGGGGATGCACTTATAGCTTTTCCTAATGACCGCTCAACCAGCATTAGACCTAGTGAACGAAATAAAAAGTACAGGTAACAAATTAAGCGAAAGTAATATTTGATAATAAACATATATATTGCATAGTAGATCAAGATTGGTTACTCATATGACAGTTATTTTTTTCAAACTATGTTCTTTAAAATTCATTGCAGACTAGTGGACCTTGATCCTCTTGCACGTATATTTATTGACTTGACTTTTTGTGTGTGAAACTATAAATGCAGCTATTACAGTTTCAGTTATTCATTTTGGTTGCCTTTACGAGGTTAAGTATTAATAATCAGCCATATGTTTGCAGTGAAATATATATGTATATAGCAAAATCTAACAAGACCCAGAATCATATAAATAATGAAACTAAAATTCTTTCTAAATTTTTAGGACTATTTTTACAAAGACTGAGAGATATAATTACGTAGATCCAGAGTTTTCTTATACTGACTGTGAACTGCTGTCAAAGGAAGTACATAAGGAATACTATGCAGATTTCATTTCTAGTTTAAGGCAGCATCGCTTACAGAAAGATGCCACCAGGTAGGACTTTGTTTAAAGGATAAATAAATATTTTGGGCTTTTATGAACTCTAGGAGGAGTTGGTTATAGATCATTGTGAAAACATCTTATTGATTATATTGGTTTCCTTTTCTATATGTAAGAAATACATGCATTTTTAATCAGCACGTGCAGCTCCCCTATAGTGATGTATTTGGTATGTGAGTTACAACTTAATTTGTGTAAAGTAGCTGATAAGATCGAAGGATCGTATTGGCATCCTAGTTTTAACTTACACAAAATTTATAAAGTGAGAATTTGTTATTTGCATGGTGTACTACAGAAAAAAAATCTGGGAAAGCTAGACATGGTAGCATTGATATTTTTAAGTATGTTTAAGAAAAAAAATGAGAGGGGAGGAAAAAAAATCTTGTGAAGCCTCCTCTCCAAAAGAAAAGGTGAAATTATACCTTAAAGACTGCTAAGTCTGCAAAACCTGTTATTTAAAAATGAAGGGGTAGAAGGTTATTGTTGTATAGGTCCAGAACAGTGTAAATTGAGATTACATTATGATTCAGACCAGGTATGCCAGAGGTGAATGCATCTTTATTTTTTTTATGTGGACACAGGGTATATGGTTTTCCTGAAAGGAACAGTTGTGTAGTGCCTGGCCTGTTAGTATGACTGTAAACTTATGTGACCATGGCATATCTAAGGTATTTCTTGAGGAGCAAAAGCAGAAATGAATATTTCAGTTTTCAGATGAATTTCACAGTTGCTATTGAACTTAGTTATAATTTTCTAAGTACTTGATATGCAGCATCTGCCTTAGGTCTCTGAAAGTTTAAAATCTCTAGTTACAGGTGAACTTGATTGGCGTTTAACTTTGAGCAATTAAAGTTAATTGCTCTGAAAACTAACCTGTAAGTGGTCCAGCACAGGCATACACAGTTAAAGGATCCTTTGTAATATTGGCACTTACTGTCTTTTCAGTGTTTGACTTGACAACTTCATTGTTCTCTAAGGTTTACTTTTGACATGATATAATATGTATGTTCTTGTAGCCATAGTGCTTGTAACACATTTAGTAAAGCAATATCCGCAATCATGCAACAGCGTAGTCCTTGTCTAAACAATATAATAAGAGTTTTCAGTACATTTGTTATATTTGAGATTCGTTTTATAATGAAATATTCTCACTTAGAGTTGTTATCTTAAAAAAAAAAAAATAAAAAAAAAAATCTGAGATACTTTAATGAGTAGAACATAGAATACTCAAACTTATAGGTTTCCATACAATTTTTTTCTCCCTCCTCTCTAGACAGCTTTATATTTATAATAATTCTGTGAGCATAGATTTTAGACCAGCGGAAGAGATTATGTTGCCAGAGATCTCAGTCGCAGGTTTTCCCAAGGAGAAGCTACAGTTGAAAATGCATTCTTCGGATGAGAATTGCCTATTAACGAGTCAAAAATTGGCAGCAAGTGCTTCAATCAAGGAAGTAAGTTGAGTGCTTGAGTAGTTATATAAGCATAATGTATTTACTATATTAAAAAAGAATAAGAATTTTTATCCTGTTCTGAGAAGATGTCCTGTGCTTATCCCAGATTTGGAGTGGGCTTAATTCTGTTCCGTCTTCTACTCAAGAAAAGGATGATTGTAATCTAACTTTGACACCCAAACAGCTTCATCAAATACTAATTGGTAAGATTTTTATTCTTGTCACTAAATGCATACAGTTGTTATAAAAATGCTTAATTGTAGTAACACAAAGTGCTTCCACAGTTTTTCACCTTTAATAAAAAATAGCTTAGTTCAGTGGTAGTTTAATACCTACAGTAGTGTTTAACTAAAGCTTTATACTCAACAGACAATACAGAGATAGAATTAGGTTGGACATGTGAAAGGAGAGCTTCCTTTAAAGACCAGTTTTGCTATGGCCCATTGTGGACAAATGAATGCAGCGTAATATAAGGTCTGCTATTATGGCTAGTTAATGCACGGTATCTAGACCAGCAATAGTATCAGCAAGATTGCTTGTAGTCCTCAGAACGTTTCTTAAAGATAACAGTGAACAGTAATATCTCAAAGTAAAAGTTTTTCAGGATCCTCCTTCAAAATAATTCTAGTTGAATGCTCTGTGATGGGAAGAGTAACACCTTCCAAATTCTCATCTATTAACAGCACTTTGTAGTATAACAGGTCTGTTTTAAGATCACAGGGGCAGATCATATCATTTAACTGTAAAGTGAAAGATTTCATTGTTTTTTGGGTTGTCTTTCGAATTTTCAATGAAGCCAGAACTTGAGTATTGTAGTTATATATACTGATATACGTGGGGTAAAGTAGAATAAATTAAATATATAAATACAAACAAATATTTAGAGTTTTGTAAAGTATTTGATTAATGCAAAGGGCTTGAAGTCTGCAGACCAGCAAGGTGAGTGGTGTTGGCAGTAAATATAGTAGAGATCACTTTGTTACCACCAGATTACATGTATTGTAAAAAGGAAATTGTCACATCTCAAAGAGCAAATAAAAAAGTTTATTTTGAATTGTTGCTTGTCTAATGACTTAAATATCTGGTTAATTAAGGAAAAATATACTTCCAAGTTTTAAGTGTGAATTTGTTCTGCTACTGACTAATTCTGTAATGTGGAAGACTAAATTGTTTTGATGAGAATGTTTTAGTAGTAAATTTAATGTTGAAGATTGTATTTCTAATATATTTCAGGTCCTTCTACTATGAACTTTGGTGATGTTTGTGTGCGCTCCACAACTGTCAGAAAACTGCATATCATCAATAACTTGTTGGTTCATATATGGGTACAAACTAAGATTGAAATTGATGAATTGGAGATGTTGGGTCCATTGTGTCAGGTGGTGCCTCCTCTTACGAAGACCTCTGTTCCAATAGAATTTGAGGCAAAATTCTGTGGAGTGTATAAAAAGTAAGGCTTCTTATATTTGTCTTGATTTATGTCTTAAGTTTGTATTAGCAGGAAAAAAAAAACAGTGGCTAATTTAAACTTGGTGTAAGTATGATAGAATTATGAATGTACACTTGTGGTAATATAACTTATGGAGATTTACATTGAAAAATTTTGCAAGCTTGTATAGCCATAGTGCCACAGATTATCAGGGAAAAATAGTTTAGAGTTTGCTATTTTAGTTTATTTGTTGTGAGAAAGTTTGTGAAAATACTGTGCTCTTTCTATCATGGTCTTACCTCTTTGCATCTGTGCTCATATCACGCACTTCTTTCTGGCTAAATAAATAGACAAACCATTTACTAGATTTTTAGTATCAAGATGGGACTCAGATTACTAGTGCTGCTGTGAAAGAGCAGTATGAAGTTGATAATTCTTTGAGATGATCTTCACCGATCAGATGGTTTAAGTTACACGCAGATCAACTACAGGTAACTTTTTCCTATCAGTTTTAACTGTGTTCATGCTCATTTGCTTCATAATTGTCGTCTTAATGATTACACTTCATATAAATTTTACTTTGACTACAACATAATAAATACAGAAAAACTATTCAGAAATTTCAGAAATGTAAACATATATATTTATTTATGCTACAGATCTTTCACTTACACAATAAACAACAAACATCCTGGGCATGTGCTGGTTATTGCAAATGTAGTGCCTGTTGAACTTCATCTGTCTGCAAGAGAATTGATTTTAAACCCAGTTCCTAGCTACATGGCAGAGACAGAATTTAGAACAACAGTCAGAGTATGCAATCCAGGAAACTGTTCTGCTGATTTTACTTGGAAACCTATAACTACACAAAAAGGAACTGCATTTTCTATACAGCCAACCAAAGGTATAGTGTACATTTACAACGTGTATCTTAAGTGTCAATAATCTTAAATAATACAAACATTCATCTGATGCTATAAACTCTGTTTTTATATTTGAGTCATCATCATTATATTGTCAGGTAGTATCAGATTGGACTGTTGATACTAGAGCAGCTTTCCATATATAAACGCATTGCACCTTAAGTCCAGTTTGATGTTTCCATATCCAACAAACAGGTCTTATGTAACCATTTTTCTGACCTCAATTTGCTGATATCTAAAAAGTGGAAATTAATGTGGATGGTGTGAGTGACACAAATATAATTCAGCCTAGGATTACTTTCCACTTGCAGTATAGATAAATGTTTATTAAAAAATGTGAGACTTTTTTTTCCTTTGAAAAGTATTGTTCTGTAGGAATAGGTTGGAGCAAAAAGTAATTAATAGGTTTTTTGCAAAAAAACCTAATGAGTTGTCATTATTCAGTTCAAAAAAGACTTAGCTGGATGAGAAGCTTGATGTGCTCTGACTCTTGAGAGGTAAGCTATTTTGAGTTTGGAGTCAACTGAAAGCAAGCAGAAGCATATGCTCTTTCCCAAGTGTGGTATTCTACAAGGATTGTCTTTTTAGTTGAGTAATTTCTGGCCAAAAATATACCGATGAAATTTGAATGTTATTTACTCTAAGGATTCTAATAAAGTGAGATATTAGTTATCTTGAGAATTCAGATGCTAATATTTAATTCATTGTACTGTTTGGCATCTTTGAAATGTTGGTTTTGTCTTCAGTAATAGAAGGCTGTTAATTTTAATGTCCTTGCGTTATTTGTAATTATATAATTTGATAATTCTAAATGTGTATGATGTAATGTGGAAATTATTTAGGCTTTGTGGAACCCTATAGTGACCTGGAGTGTGAAGTTGTTTGGCATCCAGGATTCAACTCTGCAGAAGCAGGAGAATTCAATTTATGTGTGCGTAAAGGAAACACAACTAACTTGAAATGTTTTGCAAAGGTAACACTTCATACAGTGGGCTTAGAGAAGCAAATTTATTTAATAAGTAACTTCTTACATGCAACTCTGTGGCTGTATATTCAAAAATATTTCAATTTCATATAGCTTCTATTTGATGCACTTACGAAAAGTATATTGCTCTGAAGAATTGATGATAAGACAAAGATGCTTTGTCTCTCTCATCTGTGATAGTGTATTTTCCTTTAGCATCACAACTGAGTGGTCCTTATATCTTATGCTGTAATAGTTCTTGATTTACTTATATAAATAAACAGAGGTTGAGAGGTGGTATAACAGTTCTTTATGTGTATGTTGTAGGGATACAAATGAAGAAGAAAGGAAAAAAAAATTATCACTGTATGAATAGCTTCAGGGTAGAAATTGTTGATTGGCTGATAAGTAATTTTGTCAATCTCAAACTATTTTAAGGTGGAGCAGAATAAACTTACAGAAGGAATTGTATGAGAAAACAGGTGTTCCAGAAAAGAAATTCAACTTAGTTGAATCATTTGATATGTAATGTTACATGTGTCAGGAAGTATGAATTAGACTGATTTTATTTATTTATTATTCTACTGACTGCTTGCTCTATATATTTCCATTTTGAGTGCCAAGGAAACTTCCTTTTGATAGTTCTGCTTTCTTTTTTTTCCCCGAGTAGCTTCATATGGCAATTTCCAAGACTTCAAAAGAATATCTAAAACATGGCAGTTTAATGTTTAATGCAGTAAAACCATGAATATTCTAAATCTTTGAAGTATATTGTTCTGCTCACACATTTAGGATTAAAAAAATCAGGGAGCTTGTGGTTTTAAATTTATGAGAACATTTTTTTTTTATTTATCTTAACTTGGAAATATATAAAGATTTGTATCTGATCACTTTGAATCTAGATAGATTCAATAGGTTGTGTAAATCTCATCACATACTCAACTTTTGTTTTTCTGTTTGAGTAGTTATAACTTATACATTTCAACAGATAAGTCACCTTATTACTGAAAACAAAATTGGGCTGATGTTATTTATACTTTATAACATGTGATTTAACTTGTTTATTTTCTTTTTTTTCATGATTTTGATAGCTTGGTCCTACAAAAGTTCGATTTATGGAAAAATGGGTACCGTTCAGTCACTGTGCGTTGGCTTTACCTACTTCTAAGACTGCTATTCTTTGTAACGTTGGATACAATCATGCCTACTTCCAAGTAAGCTAGAAGTATTTTTAGCACATTTAATTACTTGATGTGGGGGGGGAGGAGGGAGTTCATTTTTGTCAGATTGTTGCAGTTTTTCATTCTCAGTTATTGGATGACCTCTATTGTATCTTAGTTTTTGAAGAAAAAAAGGAAGATAGACAAGCAGAGGGACTCTTCACTATCTTTATACCAAATCTGACAAGGTGTTAAGGAGATTCTGGAAGCTTCATGAAAACCAGTGGTGAAGGAAGAATCCCATGTTCATGTACCTAATGAGGAGGAATTTAGTATGTGAGAATGAACGGGTTGTATGTTTGGCCCCAGCAAATGTGATTACTTTACTAGACTAACAGCAGAGAGGTTGGTAGACTGTGTTATGGTTTAGATAAGAGGTGAATGAAATGCTGGGGCAGGTAAAGGTGTAAAACATGAATTAGTAGAAAACCTAACCACATCAGTTCTTCGGATCACCGAATAATTTGCTATACTTATATAGTGACTGATATTGTTTTCAGGAAAATCCTTAGAACTGTTGCTCGTACTTTATTTTGGTACTATTAGATTGATTTATTTTTATTTGCACCAATCGCGTTTTTGTTTATTGGATGTTATTCTTACAATGTGAATCTTCATATAAAAGCTTCATGATAGATACAGGTGTTGTTTTTAGCAGTGTATTGTTATTTTTTCAGTACTACTACTACTATCTCATGTTTGTGTTTGAAGGTTCTTGATTCAAATCCATTACCTGGAATGGTGATCACCCCTTCTGAAGGAGTGGTACCTGTGGGAGGCCGTACTGATCTCAAAATCAACTTCATTCCGAATGCAAAAATGAACTTTGATTCAAGAGTGGAGGTATTCAAATCTGTATGCTTGTATGTTGAGATGTATGTACATTTGATCATCTCTGAAGCTTTCCTCTGGTGTTCTAATCCTTGGAGGGGGGAAGGGGAGAATTTTCAGTTGTTGATGGCTTGTAAGCTCTTCAGAGCAGTACTGAGACCAATAACAGAAGTATCTAAACAGCCTCTCACTTGAGCTGATTCGTATCACATTGTTCGCAAGCTGTTGAAACTATTATTTCATTGTTTTCATAGGATCATATAGACATTTGCGCAGTTTCGGTGTTTTATGGAGATGCAGGAGTGAAATATTATTCATTTTTTTGGCTACTACTTGTTAAAATTACAAAATGAAGTTAACTAAGAAATGAATAACTAGTAAACTTGATCTGATAATAGAAGCAATAAACATCCTGGTTTTCTGCACGTCTGCTTCCTGAACTTGTCCCCTGTTAGATAAGCGGGGGGAAAAAAAGATTTCAACTGTTGGGGTTGATCTTCGCTACCTTTTTTGACCCTAATCCTGGATTCTCCATCTTCTGTGGCTGCCTACATTATGCTCATTGAACCTAGTGATAATTTTTTTTTCATTCCACTTCTAACAGATGTTGCCCTAGAAAATAACATCCATTTTGTGCTGGCAATTCCCTCAAGGATTCTATGATTTTGCCTACAGGTGTGCGTGCTAGTCCTCATGTTTGCTGAATAGAACTAATCCATCCATTCAGTTTTATCCTGTTAGAGGACACTGCTCATTCTAGTGATACAACCTCCTGCCACATTTGTTTTGTCTGCAGAAGACTAGCCTTATTGGAGCTTTATTGATGGCAATGACTATCCAGATATGGTTTCTTTGTTTTTACTTTCTCATATAGTTGTGACTGATTTGATGACACTTATATGTTAAAATAATCTTGTCAACAATCACACTGTTCTCCGTTAACTTAGGTAGCAATTCGAAACTCTGGAGTACTAACGCTTAGAATTAGTGGATTTGTAGATACCCCTGAAATAAAGATTGATGTGGTAAGTGTGAAGACGTTCTAGCAATTGGTAAGATTTGTAGTGTTTTGCATTACCTTGATGTCAAAGTGCTTCATTTTTACTTTGTGTTTTCTGTATTATTTCCTATGCTAACTTCCTGAGAAAACTATCAAATGAAGGAAAGTAATTTGGGAGGAGAAATTAAAAACTAAATGTACATGTGAGAGTTATACTAAGAGTTAGTTTTAACCTTTGGACTTGAACACTTTGGAAAAAATAACTGTATTAAAGCAGAGAGGATTTCTTTAAGTTAGTTACACAGAAAAATGTAGGATAGAGATAAGTGGATCCACCAATCTACTTATTGAAAGGAGAAAACTCTCATGGTGCAACTGGACTTCTGTATTGAATTCTTAACATTGTGTTTGCTATCTTGGAAATTTCAAGATAAGGGCTAGGCAAAACAATTGATCAATTGAGATGTCTGCCTAATGATGAATGCAGGAAAAATATAATTTTTCTAATTCTGTTCAACTACAGGCTTTTTTCTTCTTTAAACTTACAGGAACAATTTGATTTTGGTGGTGTTTATGTTGGTTCTACAAAATCAATTCCATTTTTACTGCAGAATGAAGGACAAGCACGTACCAAAGTGGTGTTTGATTTTTTGAAGTATAAGGATTTTAAATTTGATGCTAACAACCAGACAGGTATTGGCTTTTGTTGTATCAATGTTCACTGAAAAAAAAAAAAATGGGATAATGCTAAGAGAAAATCTGTGAGAATATTTCTGGCATACAAATGTTATAATTTACAGAAAATCTAAGGCAATCATTTTATATTGAACAGTGGTTTAATACAAAGAATGACATTTGCTAAAACTAAGCATTTGGAAAATAGTTTCCTGTAGGTTATTATTATTTTTGCCTATGGTTGCAGAGGCATTTAAAAATGTCTGAATACCCTCACATCAGTTAAAATGAAATTAAAAAACAAAACAAAAAACAAAATGTCAACTACACTTATTTCCTATTCTTAGACTTTTATCCCCTGTTTTGATAATGTTTACTTTTTAAGTTAATTCATCATAATGGTGTTCTGGACTTTTTTCATAACAGTGCCAGGTGTCTGTGAGTTAATCACAGGATCGCTCTTTTACAAAATGCCCAAATTAGAATAGCATTGAAGCAATATGAGGAATTTGGCTGCTATTCTTTGTTTCTTGATATGACTACAGTTTCTTACTCTTTGTTGTTGCTCATCCCTTCTTTAATTCAGTCCTGGTATTGTCTGTGCTATACTTAGCTGAAAAATATCTCATGTTTATGTTCATTCACCCTCTTGTCACTACAAGCTCAGGAAATTGGAACATCTTCTTGTGCAAGCCAGTATTTCAATTTCTATTAATATCCTTATGTAGAACTAAATGTGGATGATCACAAAAAGTAATCTGATGAGAACAAAGGGATCTCCTTACCACATAATAGATTTCAAAGGGAAAGTGAAGACCCTTAGTCATCTTAATTAAAGGTCTGTAAGACTGTCTATGACAGACAACTAGCCACCCTGGGAATTGATTCATTACACAATTTCTAGATCAGACTTTGTGCTTGAAATGAGTAATGTGACATCCACTGATATCCCATATTGTTCAAATGGTTTTGTCACAGAGCAAATATTGTCCTCAGAGGAGGTTTACTTCGTGCTTCTGTCAGTATTTTAAAATAGGACCCAGAAACCTAAAGAATTAAGAAAGCCTTACTGGTAAACTGGTAAAGGCTAGAAGTCATTTTAGGGGAAAAAACTCCAGCTGAGAATTTTATGACTTTCATTAAAGTTACTGTTCATTAGCACTTCTCATAATTAACTCCAGGATGCTTGTGAAAATATTATGTTCATATCTTGATGATAAACATTTCCTGTATATATCTGTATATATGTATATGTGTAAATATCTGTGTTGGACATCACTTAGAATTACTGCAATTTTTACAAGATTGATATTTAGTACAAAGGCACCTGTAACATGATTCTGACTTTTGTTTGACAGAGGTTGACAGCAGTTCTTCAAAGCCTCATTTGCATTCAGTTACTTTACAGGGAAAGTCATCTCTGCAGTGCTCATTGTCCTTAACACCAAAAGAGGTAGGCTTTCATGTTGTGAACCTCAAAAAACTTGTTGCATTAGTTGAGTATATTTTGTATCATAAAATCATAGAATGGCATGGGTTGGAAGAGACCTCAAAGTTGAGCTAATTCCAACCCTACTGCCATAGTCAGGGTGGCCATCCTCTAAAACAGGCACCGGCTCAGGTTGCCTGGAGTCTCGTTCAACCTGACCTTGAGATTTGTAATGCTCTTGTGAGGAAGACAGATGTATAAATTGGAGTAAGTCATATAAATAGATATAATGTAAGTAAAACAGGTAAAATAGTTGTTCAGTGCCGATAATACTTAGAGCACTTTCTGTTTGGGTTGCCATGCTTAGAGAAAGAAGTGGATCAATAAAAGCAATAGAAATGATTAGAAGTCCAGAAAGTACAAAAGAAAGTTAAATAGAATATTGTTAACATATGGTAGTATCACTGTAGTAGATAGGAATGAATAATGAATGTAAATTATGATAGGTGGATTAGATGTGAGATAAAAACTCTATAGCAAAAGGGGTCAAATTTGAGGTAAATTATTTTGGAATCTTGGTTATTGAAGAATCCCGAGAAGGGTTTGACAAGCCTAGGAATGCCATGCTCTTGTTTCTTGCCAGAGAATGGAATAAATTATCTCTAAGCTTAGTGCATACAATTTCAAATTATCTTGTAGTTTGTTTATCCAATAGTTGTTGAAGTGAACTATCAAGGCTTAAATGTTCTTTCTGTGTGAAATTCAAAACAGTTAAACAGTAACTAATACATGGAAGTATAGATTTTTTGGCTTATAAAATTTAAACATGGAAAGGTTATCTGCCTATCTCTGTTATGGAAGTGCATACAGACATTGTTTTAATTGCATTTTTGTTTCCACTTTCCTCTTCTGTCTCAGGAAATGGCTTTTTATCTCAGCCCACGTTCAATTTTGTCTCTAATTCTTGCCATCATCCAGATCATCATCCAATGAGAGTGGGTGAAAAGTTGTGTGGTGCTGAGCTGCCGATGGGTTATAGTATAACAAAAGCCTAATTTGTTTTGTTTTTTTATTTACTAGTAAAATCCTAGAGGTGCATATTTCTTTTTATAAAAGCAATGTGTACAAATAGTGTTCTCTTAAGCATATTTTTCACCTTAAAGTCATGTTAGATATTGAAAGCTTTTCATGTTTTTTCTTTGCTTACACTGAAAGATTGTAATATAGAGATGAAAAGCAAAATGCTGCTTCATAACTACCAGTTAGCATCTAGTAAGCTATGAATATAACATCGGAGTAAGTCAATGGTTGCTAAAATTGGAATGCCCTTCTCTAAGAACTTTCCAAATCTCCTGAGTTTTTCTTCCTTTTCTTTTTTTTTTAAATCATTTGATGACATTGAAATGGTCATTTTCTTTGCAGAGGTTTCCTGTTTGTGGATTAGATGAGAACAAAATAATGACTATACAAATATTTAATTTTGCTGAGCTAGTGGTTGATATTCTTTTCATTCAGCATCTACAGAATTTGGAAGTTCGATAAAAGTGGAAATGCTCAAACATACTGATTTAAAAATTATAAATAGGATCTGAAACATTAATTTAGAATTGCATAATACTATTTTGTAAATAATACAAGGATACGTACAATGTGTAAGATTTAAATGTAACAATAGGTTAAATTCTCAGGCCTCTGTTTCAGTTTATCCTAGAATCACAGAATGGCCTGGGTTGGAAGGGAGCTCAAGGATCATGAATCTCCAACCCCCCTGCCACATGCAGGGCCACCCACCTCTATATCTAATACTAGACCAGGCTGCCCAGGGCCCCATCCAATCTGGCCTTGAACACCTCCAGGGATGGGGCAGCCAGTTCGAGCAACTCACCACTTTCATGGTAAAGAGCTTCCCCCTGCCATCCAACCTAAAACTTCCCCCCCTCAACTTCAAACCATTTCCTCTTATCCTGCTGTTATCTACCCTTTCAAAGAGTTGACTCCCCTCCTGTTTGTAGGATCCCTTCAGGTACTGAAAGGCTGCAGTGAGGTCACCCTGCAGCCTTCTTTTCTCCAGGCTGAACAAGCCCAGCTCCCTCAGCCTGTCTTTGTAAGGGAGGTGCTCCAGTCCACCTGGTCGTCTCTGTGGCTCTCCTCAGGACCCTCTCCAACAGCTCTCTGTCTTTCTTGTATTGGGGACTCTGGACCTGGACACAGTACTCCAGATGGGGCCTCACAAGAGCAGAGTAGAGGGGGACAATCACCTCCCTGTTTCTACTGGCCACCTTTCTTTTGATAGAGCCCAGGATATAATTTGCTTTCCAAGCTGCAAGAGCACGCTGCTGGCTCATGTTGATCTTTTTATCCATCAGGACCCCCAGGTCCTTCTCTGCAGGGCTGCTCTCAAGGACCGCTCCTTCCAGTCTGTATGAATGCCTGGGATTCTTCCGGCCCCAGTGCAAAACCTTGCACTTTGCTGTGTTGAACCTCATCAGGTTCACCCAGGCCCAACTTTCAAGCCAGTTGAGGTTCCTCTGAATGGCATCCCTTCCTTCAGCAGTGTCGACTGCACACTCAGCTTGGTGTCGTCAGCATACTTGCTGAGGGTGCACTCGATTCCATCATTGATGTCATTGATAAACATGTTAAGGAGCATCGGTACCAAGACAGACCCCTGGGGGATGCCGCTCGTTACTGGCCTCTGCCTGGTCATAGAGGGTGGTGATTAATGGTTCCATCTGCAGCCTTTCAACCAGTTTCTTATCTATCGAGTGGTCCACCCATCAAATCCATGGTCCTCCAATTTGGAGGTAAGGATGTGGTGGGGGGCCATGTCAAAGGCCTTGCTCAAGTCCAGGTAAATGACACCGGTCTCCTTTCCCTTGTCCACTGATGCCGTCACTCCATCATAGAAGGCCACCAGATTGGTTAAGCATGACCTTCCCCTGGTGAAGCCCGTGCTGGCTGTCTCGGATCACATGTTCATTCCTCGTGATCAAGTATGTTGTCAAGGAGGATCTGTTCCATGATCTTCCCAGGCACAGAGGTGAGACTCACCAGCCTGTAGTTCCCGGGGTCCTCCTTGCTCCCTTTCTTGTAAATGAGAGTGACATGACCCTTCCTGCAGTCATCCGGGACCTCACCTGACAGCCAAGACTTTTCAAATATGATGGAGAGCGGCTCAATATGGTGGGTCATATTTCAGTTAGAGGGACCTCAAAGCCCACCCAACCCAACCACTGCTGTGGACAGGGCTGCCCCCCACCAGCTCAGGCTACCCAGGGCCCCATCCAACCTGGCCTTGAGTGCCTCCAGGAATGGGGTATCACAGCTTCTCTGGGCAGCCTGGGCCAGGGTCTCACCACCCTGTAAGTGAAAAATTTCTTCCTGACACCTAACCTAAATCTCATCTCTTTTAGGACAAGGGGGAAAAACTTTAATTTATTGTTATCAGGCCATGTAAAAAGTTGGTCTCCCTCCTGCCTATAAGCTCCTTTTTAAGTACTGGAAGGCCTCAATGAGGCCTCCCTGTAGACTTCTCCAAGCTAAACAAGCGCAGCTCCCTTAACCTTTCTATATAGGAGTGGTGCTCCAGCCCTTTGATCATCTTTGTGGCCCTCCTCTGGACCTGCTTCAATAGTTTTATTTCTATAAAACTGTTTAACTTAAATGCCATGGCAGGGGGTTGGAAACAGGGTGGTCTTTCATGTCCCTCTTAAACCAAACCATTCTGTGATTCTATGACTTGTGATGTATATTTCTAACCTGCATTGTAGATGTAGTTAACTTTTTTTCCCCCTCCCCTTTCATCTTAGTAGATAAAAGTACATAATTATGTGTAAGGCCTAAAACACAGCTATGTTGGTAGGAGTTGTAACCTTGAATTTGATAGCTCTGTTTCTGCTTATTGTATGGGATTTATCTAGCCATAGTCCTGCTGTACAAACTGATTCTTTATTCTTCATTGTACTGGAAAGTAGTGCAGCAGAAAAGCCAATTATGTCCTTCCAGGGTAGTGAAATACAAACTCTCTAAAATCCTAAATAAACCTTATCCCTCCAAACTATCAAAATCAGGATTTTGTGTCTCCTTTAGTACTTCATTTCCTACTGTTATAATTGATCTTTATTGTTATTTTCTTTCCTAGTTTTAAACCGTGCTAGTTAGGATGGTTTAATAGGTTTTTTTTCTTATGTTGCTGTAGATTTAAGTGATTAGGCATATATAGTAACTACTATTTCAGAAGTCTTCTGAAATAATGTAATTTCACTTATCATCTGAGCATCTCCAACTGTTGTTTATGAATAGTGGTACGGTAATCTAACTGAAAACAAGGTTATATTAGTTGCAGCCTACTTTATTTATGATTATAAATTTTAGGGGGGAAGAAAAATTGTACCATCTTTGAGTGCGTATGTATATAGATAGATAGGTTAGCTTTATTTGGAAATAAAAGGATAAAGGACTTCAAAAAAGCTACTTTCCTGGGTTGCCTTGATCCTCATAACCAATTACCGTGTATTGTTTTCACAATTATTTCTTTCATTTCAGTTTCCCCTTCTCTCCACATGCACACATTTTTTCTGTCCATTTCCCTTTACCCTGTGCTGGTTAAGTTCAGTGTGCAGCCAGTGCTTCCATTCTGCTATGAAGCGTTGCTTGTTTGGCAGGGGGCAGCTTACACATTACTAGGCAGGACATGCCCAAATCCATGTACAATTTAAAACCCACTGGTTGTCATGCATTAACATCATTGAGCATCTCTGATAGCTGGAAGCAGTATAGCACTGGTTACTGTAAAAGAAAGATAACTTTGATAACTAAATTTGTTACCCAGTATGGCATGACTAAAGGAAGCATTTGGAAGCATATGAATGCCTAGGATGCTGTAGCTTTTCTTTAATCTAGCTTCTGCAAATTAGCATAGTAATAAAACCATGTAGTTTTGTTAAGGAAGCAGTCCAGGTACCAGCATCTCTTATTGTCATCAGAAACTCTCACTTCTTGATGATTCCGTGCAACATTTCCCA